GGGCTATATTCTAACTGTAAAATTGCCTAAAAGGAAGAAAATTCCACCCTTAGGTTAAGTCAAACACAAAGGTTGTCTGTTTCAGCCTGGGCTATGTCTGAAAAAAGTCAATAATGAAGAAATCGTTCCTGAAAATTTGTAACCATGGTCTTGTCCTCAGTTGAGCTGAGGATCATATTTACATTTCTTGCTTGTAGCAAGAACCATCAGGCAACTGATCTGGAAAAAGCTATCAAGGGATATGTCCAGCTTTTTCTTTACTTTTACAGAAAAACAGTGAAGAGCATAGAAGCTGGAGCCAAAAGAGTATGTGTCCTCTAACTCAGAAATTTCCTTTTCCTGATTATATATCAGCAATACTTTCAAATGGAGATTTTGCCTTAGAGGGAGGCATCTGTACTCCATAATTAAGAAGGAACATAATGTCTTTGGCTTAGGTATACTCCACAAAACAGGCCTTTCTAAAAACTGTAATGTCTTTGACTTTACATTTAATTCCACAGACTTTTAATAACCATTTATACAGTCCCTCTCTCTAGGACCTATTCATCTTGCAGCACAGAGAAAAGTCATGGGCAAACATAGATCGAAGCACGTAACACTCTTGTTTTAGATCATCAGTTCCTTCACCTGGCCCCTCACATAATATGATTTCAAGATCCTTTTCCATTCTGGCTCACAAAGTCAAGAAAAATTGGACAGATTTATGAGTAGCTGATGAAATTAAAGTTGTTGCAAAGTAAGTGCTCAGAGACCAAAGATGAAATGGAAGCCAAGCAAGTAAAGCAACCAGAGTCAGTTATGGAGAGCATCTTAAGTTCCCGTTTCTGGGAAGGAAGTATGGTACTATGAATCTGGAAGCACCAGAGGCACAAATAATGTAATGGAGAAGAACACACTTATATCACACACCTTCCGAAAAGAAGAGGGACAGGGAACCTGAGTTAGCTACAGGTGTGTCCCGCGGATGCCGCCACTGCCAAAAGAGTGATTCCCGTCAGGAGGAAGCTTTCCTGACACTTACTTGGCCAAACAATAACTCAAAACAAGTCTGAATTCCTGAATGTCAGTTGCTAAGATACACTATGTCTCTATGCACATGCGTGTGACTGAGGTCAGCTTTAGAAAATTCATGACATTCAGTGAATCCCCTAAGCAATTTGGGGTGTGCACTTATTCCGTGTATATAAGATTGAATACTTAGGTGAGATGATTTTTTCACTTTCAACAAATTATTTTCACATCAGGTGATAATTTAAACCTAGTTAACTATGTCACAAAACAAACCAAAAAACCAGGAATGTCTTAGAATTTCCGTATCTCAGTTGCCCTTCCTAAGCCCATTGGTAGTCCTAGAGCTGCTTCAGACTACTAACAAACAGAAAAATCTAGAGTTAGCTAGTAGTGAAATACATTTTCTATTTTAATTTATTAATAAAATGGCATTATTTCCATTGTTAGAAAAATCTGAAGAAAACCTGGAGGAAAGAGCACAAGACTCATGGGAAATAGGGCTGGCCTAACAGGAAGCTGAGTGTGGCCTCACCCCTTCTCAGGTTACATCTTTAAGTTCCCACTCCTTACCTGATGCTCAAGGCCCTACAAAAATCACCTGGCTCCACTATTTTGGGTCCATAATCCCTCATACAAACTAGTTGCTACTCCCAGGTCAGGTCTCTCCCCATCCACTGAGCACACCTGGGGAGTCTTGTCTCTACACCTTTGCTCTGAGTGAGCTCCTGGAAGACATGTTCTCTTCAATGCTGGACCTCCAGTTCCAAGTTGTTGAGCTACTGCAATCTTCCCAGCATGTGATGCTTTCGCTGGCCACCTTAGTCCCCAGTAGCTCTTCTTCCTGTAAACTCCCACAGCGCTTAATGCCAGGTTCCACTTGGCACTTACCTTTGTCCTGCTAATTCTGACATCTGATATGTTCAGATCCTATCGGCCCAACTAAACTGCCTGATCCCTGAAAGAAGAAACCAGATTCCTATCTTTCAATCTGTAATTCCCCAAGGGGCCTAGCATGGTTGTTTTGTATTTTGAACCTCAGTGCATGACTTTCTATTTATCCCTTTAAATTGAAGGACAAAAAGATAAAAGTAGAGGGGAAAAAAGAGAAAAGGATAAATTGTGTAGAGACCACTCTGCAATACCTTTAGGTATCTGGACTTTGAAATGATAGATTATGACCTCAAAAGAAAGCATCAAGATGGAACTTCCTCTTTTCTCTGAGAGGCATTCAAGCAGTGTTTCTGGTCCCTTGTTTTTTTGTTTTTGACAGGGATATACTTGTATACCATCAAACGTGGCCCAGAGCCTACACAGAATACCAGTTCACATGCCTTTTTCCTCTGCATTATCTCCACTAAGGTTACCTCAAAGCTCAGTCAGTACCAGAAGCAGCACAGTCACATTTTGCTATGGTCTGAATGTGCCCCCCAAAGTTCATATGCAACTTAATCACCAATGTGAGGATATTAAGAGGCGGGGCGTTTAAGGAGTGATTAAGTCATGAGCATGGAGCCCTCATGAATGGGATTAGGGCCCTTATAAAAGGGCTTGAGGGAGTGGGTCTGTTCCCTTCCCCCACTTTTGTCTTCTGTCATGTGAGGGCACAGTGTTCCTCCCCTCCAGAGGATGCAGCAACAAGGTGTCACCTTGAAAGCAGAGAGACCATGCCCTTCTAGAACCTGCCGGCACCTTGACCTGGGACTTCCCAGCCTCAAGAACTGTGAGAAATAAACTTCTATTGTTTATATATTACCCAGTCTGAGGCATTTTGTGATAGCATCACAAGTGAACTAAAACACACTTCCCATACACTAGCTCTAACCAACGGGGTACCAGCTTCAAAAGCAAGTCAGCTAGCTTTATCGCCACAGGAGCCACCCAAACAGGACTACATATACAAAGCAAATCATCTTGGTTTTGCCTAAAGTCACTGTTCATAATGGTTCTCAAATTTAGTTGCATATTAGAACCATCTGGAGGGCTTTTAAAAATCCTTATGCCGGCCGGGCGCAGTGGCTCAAGCCTGTAATCCCAGCACTTTGGGAGGCCGAGATGGGCGGATCACGAGGTCAGGAGATCGAGACCATCCTGGCTAACATGGTGAAACCCCGTCTCTACTAAAAACACAAAAAATGAGCCGGGTGTGATGGCGGGCGCCTATAGTCCCAGCTACTCGGGAGGCTGAGGCAGGAGAATGGCGTAAACCCGGGAGGCGGAGCTTGCAGTGAGCTGAGATCCGGCCACTGCACTCTAGCCTAGGTGACAGAGTGAGACTCCGTCTCAAAAAAAAAAAAAAAAAAAAATCCTTATGCCTAGCTGGACCATTTAATATGAATCGCTGGGAATAAATCTAGGTGTTAGAGTTTTTGAAAGTTTACCAGGTAATTTCAATAGACAGCCAAGTTTGAGAAGCAGTGGTTTAACCAGATCTATTAGCAATGGTCATTCCACAGTGGGTAATGTTAGAAAATACTGGCCCATTTGGAAATGAATAGTGACTATAGGCGGCAATAAAACTTATTTTTGATTACTCAGATGGCTGGATATCTAGTTTTCAGTTAAGACAATCTTTAGTGCTTCCATGTTTTTCTCTGTCCTGTAGACCCCATTATCATCTCTACCTAAAAGTAAACAAGAAGAGTCTAGAAATGACAACATTACATTTCTCTTATGTACAGGAGCTCCCTGTGGTTCTTGCCCCTGACTTTTCATTAGAATCAACTGCAATATTTAAAGTGCCAATGTAGGGCCCTAATCTCCGAAATGCTGGTTCAATTTGTGTACAGCTGTGATTCTTAACTCATCACCTGACAACCCTTTAGAAATACAAATTCTCAGGCTCTATCTCAGACCTACTGAATCAAAAATGTAGGTGTAGAAGGGTGTGGGAACAGAAATCTATGTTTTAATAAGCCCTCTGGAAAATGATGCTGCTGCTGAAGCTTGAAAACCACTGGTCTAGGCAGGGCAAAGCTTTCAGTGATTTCTTTGAAAAGTTTCACAGGTGTTTCTACTGCACACCCTAGGTGGAGGTTCCTGGGTTAAAGAGTACTAGCTTGGATAGTTGACGTTTCCTTTAATTTTGGTTTCCACGCTCTCCCAATTTCCAATCCTCCATGAGAAGCAGAATACCACTCACTGTGCTGAATATGAGAACTCTTGTATAATTCCCGTGTTGTGTTGAAAAATAATGGATTTGGTGGTGGTGTGTCCAAGCCATTTTAACAACTGAATTAGATCAGCAGTGAAACCCATCTAACTACTCACTCAAACATTTATCAGTAAAATTCCCTGTCCTCATTATCTCTACCCCCACCAAATAAATAGACTTTCCTCCAAAGTAAAATAGCCAGTTAACAGTGACTCTGTAGCCAAATATAACCATCTATTTTTTTATAGGATAAAAGAGACATGAATATAATGAGTATTTCTTTATTTTGAAATGAGCCTTTGGGTCAAAATTCCATACTTCAGTTCAGTGTTCATCTCATCCTTCAAAAAAAACTTAATAGTTTAAAAATCTCAAGGGATTTTATTTGTGCAATGATGACATTTAGAATTCTAAATTTTAGAGACTGCGTGAAAGTCTCTGGCAAGATATGTAATCAATGGAATCTTTATATGAACATCAATTCATACATTACATCAAAGAGGTTACTATGCACTGACTAATGCCTCAAAGAGTGGCAGACAGACTGGCTGTTGTCTTGTCCTGCATTTCACTGGACCTGGGGGTACAGGGGAAGGTATCACCTCCTGTGGAGTACCAAAAATACTTCATGAGAAAGGAAACAATCCTATGGCTCAGTTTATGTCTCTGAGAATCTCTGGTATGTTACTGGTGTGGTACAAAAGATCTAATAGCATTAGAAAAGAGGAGCAGCTGAGATTGCAAGCATGCCTCTCTTTATACATGCACCAAAATCAAAAGGGCTGTTCACTCACAGACAGCCCAGGGGATCCCAATCAGTCTACTGAGAGTTTACCTCGAGGGCAGTAGATGTCTGGAGCCCATCGGTTGCACTCATAATTGTCTGCTGCCTTTTCACAGGTGAAACATTTAAATCCACCAGGATATGGTGTGGCTAAAAAAAAAAGGATTAAGAGAAAAGATTAATTTTTAGACAAGGCACAGAATCCTGTGAAGTTTGATGTTTTCTTCATTTTAAAGAAAGGATTCTCAAGACAACTTAGCAGTTTCTTAAACATTCAACTACCATATGACCCAGCAACTTTACTCTTGGGCATTTATCCCTGAGAAATGAACATTTGTATTCATGCAAAAATCTGTACACAAATGTCAACAGCAACTTTATTTGTCATAGCCCAAAACTGGAAATATCCTCGATGTTCTTCAGTGGGTGAATGGCTAAACAAACTGTTGGACATCCATACTATGGAACATTAGTCAGCAATAAAAACGAATGAACTGTTACTACTTTCAACAACTTGGGTGAGTTTCCAGGAAATTATTTGGAGTGAATAAAGCCCATCCCAAAAGGTTATATATTGCATGATTCCATTTATATGACATTTTTGAAATGATTAGTGGTTGTCAGGGGTTAGGGATGGCAGAGATGGGAGTAGGTGTGGACAGGTGGGGAGAGAGGTGGGTTTGAGGCCAGCAGGAGGAACCCTTGTGCTACTGAAAGTCTTCAGTGTCTCGACTGTGGAGGATACACAAACCTACACGATAAAATTAGAACTAAACATACACACACAGAGTAAAATCGGGGAAATCAGAATGACATTGGTAGATTGACTGTATTGATATTAATATATTGGTTGTGATATTATGCTATAGTTTTTTTTTTTTTTCTTTTGGGTTTCACTCTCGTTGCCCAGGCTGGAGTGCAGTGGCATAATCTCGGCTCATGGCAACCTCCATCTCCCGGGTTCAAGCAATCCTCCTGCCTCAGCCTCCCAAGTAGCTGGGATTACAGGCATGTGCCACCATACCCGGCTAATTTTGTATTTTTAGTAGAGACGGAGTTTTACCATGTTGGCCAGGCTGGTCTTGAACTCCTGACTTCAGGTGATCCACCCGCCTCGGCCTCCAAAAGTGCTGGGATTACAGGTATGAATCACCACACCCGGCCTATGCTACAGTTTTTCAAAATGTCCCCACTGGGACAAACTGTATAAGGAGTACATGGGATCTCACTGTATTATTTCTCGAACTCCTGGCCTCAAGGGATTTTCCAGCCTCGGCCTCCCAAACTGCTGGCATTACACGCATGAACTACCACACTCAGCATCACTGTACTATGTCCTAAAATTGCATATGACTGTAAAATTATCTCAATAAAAATTTTAATTAAAAAGGCATTCTCTGGATTTCTAATAACTTACTCATGTCAACTTATACACAGATGTCAACATGCAAATAAAAATATTGGGTTGAATCATCACGAAATTTCCTGATGTTTGAGCATTTCAATCTACAAAAGTGGCAATTTCTCTGGCACACTGTAAAATTTTTATCTGGTCAGACGTGATGTCGTTATGAATCCCTGGAGATGGTGATCCTTAGCTAAGAGAAGAGTCTTCATTGCTCAAATATATGCTGCCCATGCAGAGGTGACCCTCTTCAGGTGTGTTTTGGACCCATGTCCATAGAAGCCGGATGCTGAGGGGACGTGAGGATGAGGCACCAGAGGCTACCAGCTCTAGCCTGAGGACTAGGCCATTCCAGGAAACCCCACTTAACTCTTCCCACCACTCCCACTGGTGAGTTTCTTCTTCCTGCCTTCAGAAGGAACCATCCTCCAAGGGCTTTTATTCTTTACCTATAAGCTCAGGTGGGGAGGGGTCACATGAGATTCGAGTTCTGGAGATTGTCAGGGGCACCCAGGACCTTCCCTCCACAAAAAGATGAGGATCACCGAAGAATGTCAGGCCCAGCTGTTCTTTGTCCTTACCACTGATGTGCATTTAATTGCTTCTTAGCTCTAATCATTTGCTTGCTTCACTACTTAGAGTTTTGCCTTTCATAAACAAAACTTGTGTTGTTTAATTTGTGAAATTACCTGGCCTATTTGAAAGCTGCAAACACGCAAACACTTCATCTGCAGGAGCCAACTGTTCTCCCTCGCAGATGGCTGAGCCTGCATATCCCACTGGCGGAAATAATCATCTCAGGGTAAATTGCTCTGCCCACATGGAACCAATTAGATATGTTATCAAAAATAAATGAAGGAGAAGGCAGCAGCTTAAGGCCAGAACGATGGACCAGATATCACTTTGATTTTCACCTTGCCAAGAATAGCTGCCCATCTATGCACATGCTTGCATTACTTCACAGACCTGACTGTGACAATATCAAATAATGTATCATAATCAAAAGTCATAAGCAGTCTAAAAAAGACAAGTAATCAGAACTTTTTATGGGCCCATTTGCATGCTCTAAGTCTCTCACATAGTAACTCAAATTCGTAAACAGAATGACAGAAAAAGTGCATAGATCATTTTACAAAATGATGGAAAGCAGCTTAGACACAGCCATCCAACCACTCCATTTTCATGAGGAAATTTTAATAGGGGGAAAATGTTATATAATTGTGATAAAGAGAAGTATTTTGTAAACTATAAACAAATACTTTTTATATCTTCACATTACCCACCTATAGAAAAATGGATTACACTTGAATTGAAAGGTTCTATTTAGCTAAGGACAGGTATACCTTGTTGTATCACAATTCATTTTAGCACACTTTGCAGATACTGTATTTTTACTGAAGTTTTGTGGCAACCCGCATTAAGCAAGTCTATCGGTGTCATTTTCCAATTGCATGTGCTCACTTCATGTCTGTGTCACATTTCGGGAATGCTTGAAATATGCCAAACTTTTTCATTACTTTTGTGTCTGTATGGTGACTTGTGATCAGTAATCTCTGAAATACTATTATAATTGTTTGGGGGCACCACAAACTGCACCCACATAAAATGGTGAACTGAATAAATGTGTATGTTTTGACTGCTCCATCAACCTGCTATTCTTCCATCTCCCTCTCTCCCTCTTTCCCTGCCCCAGACCTCCATACATCCTGAGATACAACAATACTGAAATTAGGCCAGTTAGTAACCCTACAAATGCCTCTAAGTGTTCAGGTGAAAGGAAGAGTAATACAATTTTCACTTTAAATCAAAACCTAGATATGATTAAGATTGGTGAGGAAGGCATGTTGAAAGCTGAGATAGGCTGGAAGCTAGGCCTCTTGTACCAGTTAGCCAAGTTGTAAATGTAAAGGAAGGTTCTTGAAGGAAGTTTAAAATGCTACTTTAATGAATACATGAATGTTAAGAATGTAGAACAGGCTTTTTGCTGATACAGAGAAAGTTTGAGTGGTCTGGATAGAAGATCATACCAGCCACAGCATTCCCTTAAACCAAGGCCTAATCCAAGGCAAGGTCCTAACTGTCATTAGTTCTATAAAGGCTCAGAGACATGAAGAAGGTGCAGAAGAAAAGTCTGCAGCTAGCAGAGAATGGTTCATATAGTTTAAGGAAAAAATCTATTTCCATAACATAAAATCATAAGGTAACATGGAAAGTGCTAATGAAGAAGTTGCAGCAAGTTATCCAGAAAATCTAGTTAAGATCATTGAAGATGATGGCACTGAAAAGATTTTCAGTGTAGACAAAACAGCCTTATATTGGAAGAAGATACCTAGGACTTTCATAGCTAGAGAGGAAAACTCAATGCCTGGCTTCAAAGGACAGGCTGATTCTTTTGTTAGATGTTAATACAGCTGGTGACTTTTAAAATGAAGCCAATGCTAATTTATCATTCTTAAAATCCTTGAGACTTTAAGAATTATGTGAAATCTACTCTATCTGTGCACTATAAATGGAACAACAAAGCCTGGATGACAGCACATTTATTTACAGAATGGTCCACTGAATATTGTAAGCCCACTGTTGAGATCTACTGCTCAGAAAAAAATATTTCTTTCAAAATACTACTGCTTATTGGCAATACACCTGGTCACTCAAGCGCTCTGACGGAGATCTACCAGGAAATGAATGCTGTTTTCATGCCTGTGAACCCAACATCCCTTCTGTAGCTGATGAATCAAGAAGTCGTTTTGAGTTTCAAGTTTTATTATTTAAGAAATATATTTGTAAGCCTATAGCTGCCATAGATCATGATTCCGCTGATGAATCTGAGCAAAGTAAATTTAAAAACCTTATAGAAAGGATTAATCATCTAGGTACCATTAAGAACATTTGTGATTCACAGGAGGTCAAAATATCAACATTAACAGCAGTTTGGAAATACGTGATTCCAACCATCACAGATGACTTAGATTTCAGTAGAGAAAGTAACTGCAGATGTGGTGCACACAGCAAGAGAACTAGAATTAGAAGTGGAGCCTGAAAAAGCGACTGAATTGCTGCAATCTTATGATAGAAGTTAAATGAATGAGGAGTTGGCTTCTTATGAATGAGCAAAAAAAGCAGTTTCTTGAGATGGAATCTACTCCTGGTGAAGATGCTGTGAACATTGTTGAAATGACAAAAAAGGATTTAGAACATCATAGAATTGTTGATAAAGCAGTGGCAGGGTTTTGATAGGATTAATTCCAATTTTGAAAGAAGTTCTGCTGTGAGTAGAATGCTGTCAAACAGCATCACATGCTACTGAGAAATCTTTTGTGAAGGGCAGAATAAGCTGATATGGTAAACTTCGTTGTTGTCTTATTTTTAAAAATTGCCACAGCTACCCCAGCCTTCAGCAACCACCACCCTGATCATTCAACAGCCATCAATATCAAGGCAAGATACTCTACCAGCAAAAGGCTCAGATGATCCTTAGCATTTTTAGCAATAAAGTCTTTTTAAATTAAGATACATACATTGTTAGCGGAACATGGTGGCCAACAATGCAATCTCAGCACTTTGGGAGGCCGAGTCAGGTGGATAGCTTGAGCTCACAAGTTTGAGACCAGTCTGAGCAACACGGAGAAATCCTGTCTCTACTAAAAATACAAAAATTAGCCAGGCGTGGTGGTGAACACCTGTGGTCCCAGCTACTCAGGAGGCTGAGGTGGGAGGCTCGCTTGAGCCCAGGTGGCAGTGGTTG